ATTTTTTTTTTAGATTTGAGAGCATCTATTTGGCCATATGAATAATAAGAACACAAAAAATATGCTTTTTGGACTGTTCAATATTTGGGAAAATAATAAGTATTTATTTAATAATACCGGATTCCAAAATAAATACATTGATTGTCTGTAGTGCATGGAATGTCTAGTGTTGGAAATGTAAAAATAATGAGAAAATTAGGGAAATTTAGACCAACATAAAGCAACATACTTTTAGAGCAATTTACTTTGTGGTAAGTGGAAAGTAGGTCACTGAGAATTTGTAGCCTGAATAGTGAGTGGCTGAATAATCTGTGTATTTGCCAGAACATTGAAACCTTCTCTAAACAGTTGTCAGTGTTTAGCAGACACAATGTAAGGACGAGTGTGTTTCCCCACAGTATGTGGCAGCCTGAGATAGCTCATCTTTTCCTTGACAATTCTGCCTTTTGTGCCAAGGGCCCACCATGACAACAGATCTGTAACCTTCATCTTCACCTAAGCCAACTGAGGCTCTGCTGGTAGGCTGGGCTCAGAAATGCTTGGCCATCTGAACAGTCTCTCAGAAACAGTTCCTATTGCCTGTAGCAGCTGGAAAGGCCAAGAGCCTTCAATAAAGCCATGACCTTCCTCAAGAGCAATTCTCAGTTTTATCACAATGTACTGCACATGCTCCCTCAGGCGCACTTGAGAAGGGCCGAGGAAAGATTCTTTTTACCGTAGCTAGGGAATCTCTAGCTTGCTGATGGTATTCAATAAACATCAGTATTGATGTGATTAATGATAAGAATCTAATTATAAAATAAATTTGATTAATGTTGCCCTTTTTGGGACTCATTTAATTCAATAAATCTATAGCCAAAAATTACTCATTTAGCAGTTTGAAAATGCTGAGTACTTATAACACTGGAAATGTCACAAGTCGTTATTGTAAGGTTATCATCTTAGGAAAAAATAGTCTTCGGCTGGGTGAATATTAGCAAATCCATTAGTGGAAGTAGAAATCACTTAATCTGGCATTATCTGACTTTCAAAACTACTATTATATGTTTATAATACAAATATTATAATATACGGACAGGCACGGTGGGTCACGCCTGTAATCCTAGCAATTTGGGAGGTCAAGGCAGGAAGATCGCTTGAGGTCAGGAGTTCAAGACCAGCCTGAGCAACACAACAAGACCCTCATCTCTACAAAAAATAGAAAAATTATCTGCGCACTGTGGTGCAGCCTATTGTCCCAGCTACCGGGGAGACTGAGGCAGGAAGACCGCTGAGTAGAGGAGTTTGAGGCTGCAGTGAGCAGTGATGGTGCCACTGCACTCTAGCCTGGGCCACAGAGCAAGACCTCTTCTCAAAAAAAAATATGTACATGTATTATATATATGTATTATATACATGAAACAAAATGCTATATATATAAAGCAAAGTGATTATCAGAAAGAAAGATGAAGTGAGTTGCCCGAAGTCATGTGATTAGTGGTAAGTATGTAATAATACATATACCATTGATATCTGTGGTACTTTTTGTGGCTTTATTTATATTTTTTATTAATATATATTTTATATTTACCAGCATCTCCGCTTTTAGTGTTAATGATATTGGTATACGGCATTCTCATGTTTATTTAATTAATGAGTACAAATGCACAATTCAAGCCACATGTGTTTTCCCCATTATTACAAAATTATCCCGAATCATAAAAATAATACAAAAAGTATAAAGAAGAAAATAAATATCGCCTATAAATCTATCACACTGTGGTAATGACTCTTAAAGTACTGCTTAATAGCCTTATAGATTTTATTCACATACAGTTTAAAAAGAAAATTGAATCATCTTAAAACTATTTTACCTTCCCCCATCCTTCATATATCATGGACATCTTTTTCATATTACTGGGATTTTGTGCTAGTAAATGCGGAAAAGATTATATTTTACTTCATATGCCATTGTTACAGTGACATATGTAGATTTATACTTGGCATTTTCTAGCAAATGCATGTGTCAAAAAAATAAAACTGCAGAGATGTAGGAAAAGGAGGTGAGGTCATAGCAAAACGATAAAGTAAGACAGGCTTTGTATAATTTATCAATTTATGAGAACCGATGTGTCATTTTTATTTTTATAAACCATAAATTTCCCGGATGTTGAATACTGTAGAACATTTTGCCAAGCATTGTAACTTTTCACTGCCAGGGGAGAATAACCCAAAGAGAAAGAAATTTTGAATACACAGAGGTAGCTTGCCAAATGCACAGATGAATTGTGGTTTAGAAGTAGAAAGTTGACTTGTAAAAACAATAGTAATATGAGTATGAGTAGGTGAAAATACCTACTTGAAACATCTACTTGAAGGGGTGTCCTTTCTGCAGCGTCACGGTATCCATTAAACATCCAGTTGTGTCTGCTGTCAGTCAGAGCCCCAGCCCAAATCTCACTGCCAACAGCCCACCCCCAAGAGGTGGGGAATAAACACAGAGGGGCACTGTGGTTAGGAATTCCAGCACTGAGGAATCAGAACTGGGAAGATGAAGATGACAAAGAGAAAGGAGATGGAAGGACACCCATGGTAATGTTCAATAAAAGCAGAGCATAGATACTAATTTATTAATTCGCTCATCCAATATTTATTGAGCACCTATGTTGATTCAACAGGATAGTTTCCCTTACTGGTTAATAGCGTGTGGGTGTGTGTATGAACGTGTATGTGTGCAGAGTGTAAATGCAAATGAATAAATTAAAAACTATGTTAACATGTAACACATTTCAGATTTCTTTTCTTTTTTTTTTGGAGCTACCTGTCATGAACTACAGACTTATTTTAAGCAATTTATGTGTTACTTGTGTTCTTAAAGTTCTTGCCCTGTTTTTTCACTTCTGAATGGAATATATAGAATGGTACTTGTACTCTTTAAAAATTGGATGGAATTTTAATCATTTTTATATTAAATCTGCTGTGTAACATAGTTTTAATATTTTCTTCAAATGATGATTTTTTTTAGACTACCTCTGTCTCTACTTACCCCTCATTTATTTCTGAAGAATCAATTGTAATTGTAATTTATTTAAGAATAAAGTTATTTTCCATGGCTACTATCAAAAAGACAAGAGAGAACAATTGTTGGTGAGGGTGTGGAGAAAAGGGAACCCTTGTACAGTGCTGGTGGGAATGTGAATCAGTGTAGCCATATGGAAAACAGTATGGAGCTTTCCCAAAAAATTAAAAGTAGAACTATCATATCATCCAGCAATCCCACTTACGGGTATGTATCCAAAAGAAGTGAAATCAGTATGTAGAAGCGATATCTGCACTCGCATGTTCATCGTAGCATGATTGATAATAGCCAAGACATGGGACTAACCTAAGTGTCCATCAGCGGATGAATGGATAAGGAAAATGTGATGTATATACACAATGGAACATGATTCAGCCTTAAAAAAGAGAGAAATTTAGTCATTTGTGACAACATGGATGAACTTGGAAGACATGATGTTAAATGAAGTAAGCCACACACAGACAGGCAAATACTGCATGGATACTCACTCATACGTGGAATCTAAAATAGGAATTCACAGGAGCAGAGAATAGAACGGTCGTTACCAGGGGCTGGCGGGGAAGGGCGGAGTGGGGACGTGGGAGATGTTGGTCAAAGGATACAAAATTTTAGTTTAGGAGGAACAAGTTCAGAAGATCTATGTACAACATGATGACTACAGTTAACAACAATGTTGAGCACCTGAAATACTTGGATACTTGTTGAATACTTGGAAATTGCTAAGAGGGTACACTTCAAATGTTCTCACCACAAAAAAATGAGGGAGGTGAGTTAGAGGGTATGTTAATTAACTTGATTTTGCCATTCCACAATGTACACCATACATTAAAACATGCTGTATAACATAAATGTATAATTTTTATTTTTCAATGAAAAGTTATATTTTTTAAAAAGAATAAACTTGCCTTCTAAATGGAAAGACACAAAAACCAAGATGACCACAGACATAGGATCAGCCTCTATGATGTAGGTGCAATTCATGTTGTTGTCGTATTGCTTTGGGTAGTTTGGAGAAATGATGTAACCTGTAGGGTCAGTGAAATTTCTTCCACATCCTACACAGGAACAAAAAACCATCATCAGAGCATTTTTTCTCACACGTAGTATCTATTCTATCAGTGAAGGAAAGACACAATTTCATAAAATACTCTGGAGACATAGTTCCCTGAGATACTCTAAAATGAAAGAAGCAATAACTAAGAGAATGAAGATCTGATTTAAAAATAAATATACAGGCAAAGTAAAAACATTATGTATTTTTTTTAGAAAATGTTGCAGAGTTTTACAGGCTAAGTGGTAGAAATTTTACCACAAATCCACTACAAATACTTTAATATTAAGGTATTAAAAGGATGAGTTAGCAAAGATTGAATATAGCTTCATGTAGCTAAAGAAATAAAACTGATGAAGAATAATTTGTACCTGATTAGTATTTTATACACTTACCATTTTTAAAATGTCTTATTATTAGAAACTTATGCTATTTTCATTACCATTGTTATGTGGCCATAAGAACAAAATGGTTGCTTTTAAAAAATATTTCAATTTACTAATCCCAACTTTTATCAAATTCTCACATGAATCTCTGGTATCAGAAATAAAGAGAAATCTCTTTTTACCACTAAAATGGCATTTTTTTTCATATAGCTACTAACTATTGGTAGTTACAGATAGCCACATCCCTCCCTGATCTTTCAAGCATGAAAATATCTGTGTCCTTTTAAACTGATGTTAAAACATACACAGGTATACACACACACACATACACACACACACACACACACACACACACACAGAGCAAACCATCTGAAGATGTCAGAATAGGTCTGGGGTTGTCTTTCAATACTTCCTTTCCAATGCTCTCATTCTTTTATTTAGGTCTGAAATATTAATACCTGTTTACTGCATTATTTCCTTTAAGTCCCTTCCTCAAGTTTTTCCTAAAAAGTGGTTTGCAGTTAGTGCCTACTTGATTTAACTCAGCCAACAGGCACACACCCGAAAACTGCTACGTTTCCCACTAACCCAACTGTGTGCAGTAATCAGAGATGCGGAGCCACTACCAAGCCAGGAAGTGAAAACCCAGAAGAAAGTTTCCCAAACTTTCTTCCAGAGTTCACTGAGCATGCGGACCCTCTGGATGAGACCTAAAACATGCAAGACCTCACCAACGGGAATTCTGAGTTCAGGTGGGTATGGGGTGAGGCCCAAGAGTCTGCACGTTTTTCAAGCCTGCCCAGGGGATTTCGATGCAGGTGGTTGGGGTCTGTGCCAGGCACGCTGGCTGTTTACTAATGAACTGGCCACACGACCTTCTGCAGAATACCTACTCCACTCTGGATCCCTGGCTTATGTCTAGACGTTGGCTAACAGTGCTCATGGCTTTTATATTATTTCTCAACTGATCTACTGTTTGAATTCAGTTCCATGCTCACTGATTTTTGAAGGAAGGTGTCCCCTTGGGATTCGGTGACACACTCGTGCTTCTTCCCTTGGACCTCTGTTCCAGCCAACCCTGTCTGCAGCAACCACATTCTCCTAAGAACCTCCGGGTTTGTTCTCAGGGCTACTTACGGCTTACAAAGGATGCAGAGAAGCCCTGAGCTGGCGTCTCCTGAGACTGGAAGACAGCCGTGAATGCGCTGCCTGGGGTGATGACGGTAGCAGGAGCCACGTCCCCACAGCCCGTGGCTAGCAGGTCCTTGTCGGCCTCCACGGTTCCTGCCCACACCTACAGGGTCATAAACATGACTTAATGCTCCAGGTTTTCTCCACAATATTTTAATGGGCTTAGGCTTGAAAATAAATGGCACTCAGGTGTATAGAGAACTAAACATTAAGAATAAGTAAAACACAGGGAAACCTGCAATATTTTCTTTTGAGAATAGTTTTTCTTTTTTAAACCTGCTTTTAAAATGGCATATCCCATTCTTGAGTCCTCTAAGGAGATTATGTTCATTTTCATGTAGCTGGGCAGTGATTTTTTAAAAAGATCCATTGCTGTTCAGTTTCCTCTTAATGTCTGGTTGGCCTGACCTAGCTGAGCTAGACCCAGCAGCCAGGTGAATTCGGTGGCACTTGCCACTGATCCCAGGAAAATGGCAAATTGTGGTCGCAGCTAGAGAATGTCACTAAGCACGTGAAGATTAACACATTGTGGAGCATGAAGAAAGTGGATGTGAATTCCAAGTATACATGTAATTAGCATGGATTAGAATAGATTGTAAAACACTTCTTGTCAGTGTTGAATTTTAAAGTTCATTTTGAAGCAAAGACTGAATGTACTATTTATTAAAGATGGGGTTGGCAACTCCCAAGTAGACCTAGGCTGTCATTTAATTGGTCTGGTCACCTTGAAAGACTTAATTTATATACTCATGCAAAAAATAGTTGCTGGACAATAAATGGTAAGCATCAAAATTTTGAATCAAACCAATTTTAATCAGCCCAGGGAAGGAGAGAGAGACAATAATCATAGAATCACAAATTTAAGTGAAAAATTACAACTATGAAACAGGGTGTTGTAATGGAGCTGTTGAGAGTGAATAACAGGGGGCTGCCCCACATTTGGGGGTGGTGAGCCTGTCAAACCCCAGTGACAGCATGGCAGGAAGGGCCACGGCTGGAGAGAAAACTAAGTCAGGTGAGAGGGAGGCAGCAGAGAGGGGGCCACAGGGGCAGCCCAAGCAGGCCTCGGGGCGTGGCATAGATTTGGGCCAGTGTCCCGACCTTGTTGAGGAGCCACAGGAAACTTGGTTTTGTAAAACATTATAATGTGGAGAATAGGAGGAAAAGAGAGGATGCCAGGAAATCAGGAGGGTTTTGCCTGAGTTCAGGTGAGAGATATCTAAAATGTTGAGTCACTCAAGGAAAATATTTATATTAGGTAATGAATACGTACAACGTACAAAAAAGACCACTAAACATGCTAACCAGACCATCCTAGCTCAGATTTCAACCTGGAGCAATTTTGTCTTCTCTCAGGGACATTTGGTGATGTTTAGAGGTATTTTTGGTTATCACACTTGGTGGGCGGGGTAGTATCTAGTGTGTAGGGGTCCAGGGATGTCGCTAAACATCCTGTAATGGACAGAACAACCCCTCCCCCCACTCACACACTCCTGAGAATTATGTGGTTCAGGAGGTGATTGGGTACAGATTCGTGTTACTTGGCTATTCAACATTTTGATCACATCAAATTATAAATAATTACTCACTCTAAACATATCTCTTTCAGGACTATTCCTTAAACAGAGCAATAAAACATCAGGCCCTTAAAAATATTTCAACTGGGAAATCAGTTCACAGGAAGAGGTACGAAATAGCACTGATTCACAGCACTGATTGAATATTTCTCGGCTCCTTGAAGCCATATCATTTCAATTTATTTTCAAATGCTAGGTATTCAGCTGTTAGTCACCTTACTAAAGACAAATTATATTTGCCATTTATTAGATAAGGGGAGTATCTGACACTGGAGTTACTGAGAACAAAAGCACAGATATTCTTCAAAACGCCTAAAATCAATAAAAATGTCAGGAAAGAAACACACACTCCTAATTTTACTTAATAATTTTAAGATTTTTTTCCCCTTAATCAACTATTCAGGGAAACAGTATACAGAAATTTTCTATCTACATTTTATAAAATTACAAATAAAATGTACTGAGAGTTAATATCTTCATATACTATATTTTTACAAACATTGTTAAACAGGCAAAGTGAGAAAAGCCAAAACTTAGTAAATAACCTCAAGTTCTTTAACAGAGAACATCAAGAATACTCAGCTTTCTTCAATAACTGATGGTGTTGAAGATCATTTCATGTGTTTACCATCTATATAGTGCATGTACACATATTTTTACTCTTTACACATTCATTTTTCCTTTTTGATGCTTCCAGATACTTTCTTGAATCATTTCATTTTTGTTTGAAGAATTTCCATTTGACACTCTTTAGTGGTAGGCCTCTTAGTGACAATTTCTTTTAGTTTTCCTCTATATGAGAAGTTCTTATTTCCATTTTATTCTAGAAGCATAGTTTTCCAGATATAAAATTGATGATTGACAGGACTTCAAAAATATAGTGGCATTTCCTTGTGGCCCCCATGGTTTCAGATAAGAAATCTGCTTTCATTCAAACTGGTCTGACCCGATAGGTAAAGTCTCAATTTTCTCTGACTGCTTTCAAGATCTTTTGTTTGCATTTTATATTCAGAAGTTTCATTATGATGTGTCTTGGCTTGAATGCCTTTGTGTTTACCTTGTTTGGGGTTCACTCAGCCTCTGGACTCTGTAGGTGTGTGGGGGTTTTTTGCCAAATTTGGGAAGTTTATAGCCATTAGTTCCTGGACTACTCTTTCAGCTGCAATCTCTCCTTCAGAGGGAATCTTTCATTGGATGTTTCGTTATTGTCCATGTGTCCCTAGGGCTCTGTTCATGTTTTCATTTTTCTTTCAGTCTATTTTCTCTTGTTTGTTCAGACTGGGTTAATTCTCTTGCTTTGTCCTCAAGTTCATTGATTCTATTCCCTGTCACCTCTACTCTGCTATTGAGCCCCTCCAGAAAGTTCTTTATTTCTGTTATTATATTTTTTAGTTCTATAATTGTCACTTAGTTCTTCATTATAACCACTATTTTCTTTGCCGAGCTTTTCTATTTGTTTATTTGTTTCAAGAGCAATTGTTGGTGGTTGCTGAAGCGTTTTATGACAGCTACGTCAACATTCTTGTCATGGGATTCCAACGTCTGATCTGTCTTGGTGCTGACAGCACTTGATTGTCTTTTCTCACTCAAGTTGTGATGTTCTTAGTTCTTGGTGTGATGGGTGCCTTCTGGTTATATCCCGAACATTTTACTTACTATGTTAGGAGACTCTGGGCCCCGTTTAAATCTTTTATTTGAGCAGGCAGTCACCCTGTTTATGTCTACCCTGTGGTCTCACATACTTTTTTAAGCTGTGGTTCCAATGGCCCTTCATTTTCAGAATCTTTGTGGTGTAATTTTGGTCTGCTTGGGCTATATGGTGCTGCTGGGGCTCCCTGAGGGGACAGAGGATGCTTCACTTGGTTGGGCCTCTGTGTGTTTGTCCGTGGGAGGGGGAGGGTATAGCAGGAATCCCCTACCAGTGGCCCCTGAGTGCTCCCATGCCTCTGGGTGGAGGAGGAGCACCTCTCACTTGAGGGGACACCGAGGCTTCCTGGACCAAGATGCTTGTTGTGGCTGCATGCGCTTTGCCAATTCTTCCCCTTGGCCCCAGCATCTCTGGGTTGGGGAGGAAAGTCTTGGCCCCTTGAGGACAAGGAGGCTTCCCAGATTGGGCCACTTTCTGTGATGGGGTCCCTTCTCTCCAGTCCTACCTGCCCTGATGTCTCTGGGCAGGTGAAGAGAGTCTCGGGCTGTCAGACACCAAGGGGCTTCCCACACAGGCTGCTTGCTGTAGCTGGGTCCCTTTGCTAGTTCTACCCACTCACGCAACAGCATCTCTTGCAGAAATAGGGTTCTCAGGCCCAGCAGGAGAAAAAAAGTGTTTCCCCTGGCCGTTTATTTTTGGCAGGTTCCCAAATGATCCCACCGGCCAGTGGTGTTGTCAGAGGCCCTCGCATTCTGTCCAGAGGCAGAAGGAGCCTAAAGCATTTCTCACATTCCATTTTTACACTCGGAGAATGTTCAAGGCTTTACTTAAGTTCAACCACTGATATTTATCATTTCATGACAAGAGTTCATTTATTTTATGGAAAAAGCAATGAGGAAAAGTGTATATTAAATGTGTTTTATTATAGACACATTTTACATGAGATTTTCATTTAAACAGTGAGCGTGGATCAATGAGATATAAAACATAATTTGAGAGATGATATGAAATAATAACATCAACAATAAAAGCTGCTTCTGCTCATTAGGCGATTTTATATTTCAAGTACTTAGCACTATTTATGTTATATCATATCACCTCCGGTGCTTAAAACAATCCTGCTAAAGGAGGAATCACTCTTTTCATTTTATAATTGAACAATCTGAAGCCCAAGTGTTTAATTGGCTCACAGGAGAATATACAGGTGGTAAGCATGAGAGCTATGAATGGAGTCCAGGCTAATGTGACCTTAAGGCCAATGTTCTTTCCACTAAAATGCATAGCTCCTTAGAGATACAACATAGAAGACATAAAATAGCACAGATGAAATGAATTTATAATAAAATCACACGATCGTAGGTCAATGGAAAGCGAAAAGTCAGTGCCACGTGAGCAGAGTTTGTCACTGTAGAGAAAGACAGCCTGGGTGACTGCCCTGTTGCTATCAGTTCAAAATAAGTCTCTTGTGGTCTTTTCAGCTGTGGGCTGTTAAGGCACAAGATGAAGGCTGGAAGTAGCTATTCTCCAACCTTCTGTAATTTTTGCTGCATACTTTAAATTTTGCATGTGACAGTGCCTTACATTGGAAATGGCATTTTTCCTTTGGGATCTATTAGAAAAGAAAGAAAATTAAAGGAAAGAAGGAAGGAAGGCAGGAAGGGAGGAAGGAAAGAAAACTGGCCTTCTCTTAGTTTCCAAAAGAAATGTTCATGAGAATTTAATAAGGCCAAAGAACGATGTCCTCGATTAAGTTATTTTGCCTAGGTATTAGCAAATGAAATATCACAGGGCAATATGTTGTGCTGTGGTTTAAATTCTAACTCCTAACAGTCAAGGTTTCTCACTTTTTCATCCATGAAATCCAAGCAGCAAAATTGTCCTTTTCTTACTTTGAGAGACAGTGAGTGATTTCCACCTTAAACATTTATGCTCATGAAACCAGTTTGGCTCCAGTTAGATAAACAAGTGTACTAACCTTCACGAAGCTGTTCTGACACTGTCCATCACCACTGGGGATTAGGAAGTTATTGTCAAAGCTGATCTCCAAGTGTTTACTTTGGTGAGTAATGACTGTCCAGGAACATCTGCTGTTTCCGGGAAAATTCTGAGGCCAGTGAGGGGATCTGATTGTACCATTTTCTGAATGAAATATTCCACCACAACCTGAAATATTGTCGTATAAAATGTCATCAATTTGTGAGGAAAATAACAACTTTGGAAACCCAAGACTGCTAAAGAAGGAACATTTCTAAATGTGAGATTTCAGCTCATCTTTCTTTAGAGATGACTCACCTTCAGGGTAGGTATGCAGCAAGATCTCTCAATAAATGGAAAGGTGCTTGAATCGAGAGGAAACTTCAGCTGTTATTAATACAACTGTGTTACAATGATACTGAACTCAACTGAGACCACTAGTCCTTGCCATAAAGAGGACAGACCTCTATCTTGTCTTCAAACAACAGCAAGATTTTTTATTCTCCTTGAGGCTACATAGTCTATGTAACCTGCCAGTGCCAAGTTCTGTATTTTATTATCACTAACACATGAGAATACAACTCTACATTCATTTGTAATTTTACTCTAGCATACTGGACTAGAGAAAGAGATTTTGAGTTGAGGAATATTCTTCCATTAAACAATCTGGCTCATTCATACTGACACCGACTGAAGGGTAAAAATAAATCACATGGGTTAAAAGAAAGAAAAATCTAGAATTATTTTAATACTCGTAAAATATGTACTTAAGAGATGACAAAGAAAAAATATGAATTCAACACAAAATGAAGTTAAAGAGAATTCGCCAAATCTTTTGTTGTTAAACCCTTGGAAATCAGTGATTCATCTGAAACTCCCTTCTAAATTCAATAGCTGCTGGTGGTTTTTAATGAGGGACACTTTGATTCATTCTACAAAGAGCTTCAGAATAACTCTGACTCTACTAGGAAGAATTGTCTCATATGATATTCAGGATTTACTTAAATTCCGATACAAGTCCTTATATTTTTCTGATAATTTTCACACATGTGCACAGTAGCTGATCTTTTAAAATCAAATCTGTGATATTTTGATTCAGCACCCACATACTACAGCATTTGTTCTAAACCACAAACCCCATCTTGTCACCTTCCTCCTCAAAACTTCAATAGCTCCCCATTGCTCAAGGATAATTTACAAACCAAGGCTCTTCATGACGGGGACTTATTTTCCTGCCCCCAGCTCACCACTTGGCATTCTGCCTCTAAGCTCCAAATATTTTAAATTACTTGTGATTCCAACACATATTTCTATTACTCGAGATTCCCTGGTTATGCCATGCCCTTTTGCCTATGAAGGCAACATCATAAAGTGTTAAGATCAAAGTTTCTGGGCTTGACTGCCTTTATCTTGACTCTACCAGTTGTTGGCTGTATGTCCTGGGCAAACTACCAACCCACGTTCCCTTGCTCCTTCCCACCCAAAACAGATGATACGTATTGATATTGTGTGATCCTCCAGTGTGGCTACATGAGATCATATGTACTAAAATTGAGCCCAACATCAAGTAGGTACAAAATGTATATATTTTAAGTTAGTTAATAAATTTAGTAAATACATCACCAGGGGAAAAAAAGCAAATGCAGAGAACATTTCTTTTACCTGAAGTCTGTGTGTTCCACGTAGCATAAAATCCACCACCTTCTATGGAATGGTCTGAGTTAAAAATCACCACCAGCTGGTTAGAACCAGACTGGATTGCACTGGGGTTTGAATTTCCACAGTACTGTCCTATTATGGGCGATCCAGGAGAGCCACCATTCCTGACAGTGACGGAGTCCCAGGCACAAACCGTCTGGGATTCAATGTCAAAGTCACTGAATGTGAGCTGCGGGAGAAAGAAGAAATAATGAGGCACCCTGAGTTGCGACCTTGAGGTAGATAAGGCCCTTACAAATCCTTTTATTTTGTTTTTATTTATATAATTTTGTATTTTGTCTCTTATTTAATTCTCCCCTCCCCTCTGCTCTTTTTCCTCATTGAAGTTTCTCTTGGAAATTTTGAGAAGGGGTATTTCTCCAGGAAGTAGCGTCATTGTGTTGGGGGTTCCCCACTCAGTCCCCTAGGCTGGGATAGCAACTCACAGCAAGAACATGAGTACCCCTCTCTGCAAGATGTAAAATTATCTTCTATACATAGCTTCTCCTATGCTTAAAAAAGAGATGTCGTTCTTCATTTATCGTAGACTTGCAGATGCCAAGGTATTTAATATGTACTCTAATGAGAGAATTTTAGAGAGAAACAGTGATCTGATTGCAGGACCAAAGCCTCTCTGGTCACTTTCTTACTAAAAGAACTCCATTTTCATGCAGGACATCAAACTGCTATTCTGTAGTGTGAGAAGTATGTCACCCAGTCATTCAGACTCACAGTGATGGTGTATCCTTGTGGGGCCTCTAACAACCAAGCACAGTGGGTCAAGCGGTCGTAAGAGTTTGGGTAGTTGGGGCTTGAGATCACTCCACTCTCTCCTATCTGTATTCCACCACAATCTGAAACGAGATTTGTAACCCTCTAAGTAAAATTGAAGAAGAAGAAGAAGAAAACCCTGAAAAACCAAAGTAAGTAGCATTTATTGCCATTATACTTTATGATACAAAATGTATAAATGAATAAAGAATGCAATTGGATAAAAGCAAAGCAAAATTGGGTGGAAGATTAGAAATAAACAGCATTCCATATAGTGTTAATTAAACAAAATCACATAGTGAAGACAGGCTCAAGTTTAAAACAAAGGAAAAGGAAGATAATCTGTACCATAATCACAGGATAATTAGACGTGTGCATAACTCACAGTAAAGACACTAGGGACAAAGTAAGTAACATTGCCTTTCTCGAAAACACCAGGCTGGTGAAAATAAAGGTAAGCTTGAAGAATATGATCAGTACTGTAATTAAATGCTTTGTCATTTGGTAATAAGCACACATGTCTATAGTCAGCTATCAAATTATGCATTAGTGTAGAAAATTGAAAAACTGATATAGTTCTAAGGCATAGTACAGTCTGATGTTAAATACAAATAATGCTACTTCCTGGAACCTGATTCTTTCCTTTCAATCTGATGAAGAAAAATCAACTGGCAAGAAGATTAAGTGAGTAGATAACAATTTCACTCCTTCCTTCAATCAGCCATTTGTTTATAACACAAAGAAATGTTAGATAAAACTATAACGAAAACATATTTTAATTCATAGGCAAACTCAAAGGAAAGAAAAGGGTCTATCCAAAATCTGTATACAGTAAGTGTACTGGAATTCAGAGAAGTGAAACTGTAAGTATGGCAGTCTGAGAAGATAAAGAACCAAGGTGTGGGCCCCAGGGTTGGGGTCTGAGGTTTTGTTGACCAGACAGGAGGCGAAGATATGGCCTTGGACCTCCACAAAAGGAAGGGCTGGAATCGAGATGTTTACGTAAAGTTGGGAATCTAAAAGGCCTGCCACGTTCGTGAAAAAAGACTAGAAAAATCCAAGAGCCAAAAGAATCAGAAAGGAGTAGGGCTAAATTTTCAGGTACAAACTCTGAAAGTTGCAGTTGCAAATCTAATACAAAATATTAGCATATAATATCTAGTAATACGTATAAAACACACATCACATGATGAAGTTGGGTTTATCCTGAAAATGCAAGGATGGTTTACCAAGAGAAAAGAAAAAAATCATTCAATATAATTTGTCACATTAACCAATGAAAGGAGGAAAAATAGGATCATCTCAATAGATGCAGAAAATCATTTGATAAAATCTTACACTCATGTTTTTACATTAAAAAAACCTTTTTGTATAATAAGAATTAAAGAAACTTTCTTTAACCTGATAAAACGGTATTTATTGGAAACCTAAAAGCAGCCAATATATTTAACAATGAAATGTCATAGACATTCAAATTCAGGTCAGAAACAAGATGCTATCAGTCCTGCTATTCAATATTATGAAGGTGACCCTAGCTAGTAAAATAAGGCAAGAAAAAGAAACAAAGTATCAGGGCTGAAAGATAAAAGAACTGCATTTGCAGAAGACATGACCGTTTGCACAGAAAACCAAAGAGAATTTATAGACAAAATATTAAAACTAACAAGAGTATATAGCCAGATCTCTGAATTAAAGTTAAATGTATAAAAATTATAAAATTTCTAGATATTGGACGCAGCCAATTAAAAAATACAATTTAGAAAATCTCATTGACATTAGCAACAAAACTAATAGCCACCTAGAAATAAATCTGGGTATGTCACAAAATCTAGATGTCACAAAATATATGTGACATCTTTATGGAAAAATTATAAACCTTTATCAATTATTTTATTGAAATTGTAATCATAATTCTTACCTGTAAAGGAATATTTTGCATGGAATCCAACATGTTCTACGCGTTCATTGGTGACAAAGTGTATCCACACTTGAGGATAAGGTATAACCAGTGGCACTGTAGGCCCTGAAGGGCCACAGAATCTCCCTATCAGGGGCCCATCAGCATCACCTAAACAAAATAGTACACCCAGCAGCATTATTTATATAGCTTTTGAGAAATATATCCAATTAATTCAGTAGGAGCAAATAATAAAGAACATTTCAAAGTATTCATTGACATGCATTTAAATTCTGATTCAGTAGCAAATGTTGCAAAAAGTTTCTCTGTCTTTATCAACTGCAAAAGAATGAGTTCCTACAACAGAGTAAAACAAAAACAAACAAAAAGTGCTAGTTTGGTATGCACCTCGCTCTACCACAGATGCCACTTTGTTGCAATTTGTGTTTTCACAATTATTTCAGCATATCCAAACAGATACAACTAATTAAAATAATACGTTTGAACACACCTTTTTTTCAGGCAGTAAGAAATATTATAGCAACAGTGACAAGATATATCCTCAAGATAAGTGACGACTGCCTAAAATTTTAAAGATTTCTTCACTGTATTCAATTAACTAAATTGAACACAATATTCAGCACTCAGGCCAAGAACTGTCATGTTTGAGCTGAATATTTTTTATGAGGATTACTTCTCATGGAAATTTGATTAACATTTATAGAGCACTGCAGAGCTCACGTTTCTCTGCTCTCTGTTTATTCTGTCAGATGAACATCACTGACTTTCGAAATCAATGATATATGGTATTGTAACTGTCTCTAAATCTGAGTGACTAAAACGAAGACTGAATTTGACTGAAATTTGATATACAGAAGTTCTGCTTGATTCGGTCAGCCAGTGGTTTTGAACCAGGTAGAGGCAGTGAGGGTTTATGAGGATTTAATGGAGAATGTTCTCAAACCACAACTTCCACTTCCCTTGTAAGCCTTTTCTAGACTCATCAATCTCAGACAGCTGGGACGATTCTCTTGCTGAGACCCTTGGTCTGTGACCGCAGACTTTACCAAATTCTCCTTCTTGAAAGTTCTTTCTTCCATGTTCTCAAAGGTAACTAGCATTGATGTCTATAATTTCCTGAGGACATCTCCACCACTCAACTACTTGGTTTCTGCTGCCTCCTTTTCCTTAAATTTTGGGATAACAGCAAAACTTTGACAGTACGGATTGTCTATTGTATCATTTTTCTCCTCCATCTACTTATTTATTTACTGAGAAAAAAAGTGTCAATGTAACCATGGGAGCAACCTAATGGATAAAGCCTTGACTAAGGATAGAATTAAAATTGATTAATTTTCCACGAATGCAGAGTTTTTTAAGTTCTTAAGAGAATTACAGTTCACCAAGCACACCTCAAACCTTTTCTATCATGAAAACAAACACAAACTTGACTGCTTTTAGTTTAATTCCCCAAATATCTTCCATGTGCTTCTCCATCTAGTACATTGCAAAACTTCTCTTAACTTCTAAGTCGTAGGAAGAATTTCATAGTCCCTTTGTAAATTCTGTAAGTTCAGGAAACCGCCCATACATGCTGACCATGCTAAGTTCCAGTTTCCTGGGAAAGGAGCCTTGATTAGTAGATGGTAGTCAAAGGGACCCCTGACCCCATTCAAAGAGTGGAAGCAAGCCAGCATCTCTCCTGGATGAAGTTCAAATACTAGGCAACCAAGCAATTGTGATACAAGGTCTAGTTGTAAACAGTGATCCTCCTCATTTACTGTGCACAGGCATGTTTCCTCAGCTGGGCACGCACAGAATGACGGCTTTGTTGGAACAACGATATGATCTTTTGGATCATATGTGCATATATTATAGCCATTTGATCCCCTCCATTGTTAGTGGTCTCCAAAATATTGTAGACAAATGGGAGAATGTGTTCTTTGACGGAACTCACCCACTCGAAACTCAAGGACATCCGATTGACAGTCTTGGTGACTTTCTAGGTAAAAATTTTCAAAATGAACGTAAATGGATGAATTTCCCTCATTTGGATTGCTGAGAGTCCATTCGCAGTTTAGGTTTCTTGAGTAATTACTGACTCCATCATAGCCAGGAGAAGTGAAGTTTCCTCCAGGGGCATTTGTGAGAGACCCGCCGCACACTAAGAAAACAGATGACAACAAAGAAAGGAGTAAGATTTCGGCCACGACAGGAGATACAAACAATGCAGGAACAGTAACTAAAATGACATCAGCATCATCACTGCTTAGATTTGTTTTTCTAGGTGCATTGAGTGTTGTGGGTCAAGAGCGTGCAAACTGTGGAAATTTCTGTGAATTTCTAAAGGAATGATGTGTAAAAATAAACAGCTTCGTTATTTCCCCGTTGGTATAGATTAGGTGGCTGGGGTTTTGGCTGGGCATCAGTACGTCCAAATTTGGGCCTCTTGTTCATGAATATTTAATTTGGAGGAATATCCAAGTATAATGGTGGTAGGTCCCAATGGCTTCTGATTAGTAATTCTCTACTCAATCCAATAATTTAATTGGATCAAATAGGTAACACTAAAATGCCAATGAATTTGCCCCTTGTAATAAGGAAACGAATGCTTTCTGTACCAATAA